ACAAGCCACCAATAGTGAGCGAGAAGACTCTGGTCTCTGCTCCTTGGGAAACATTGTGTGAACAGCCCGAGTGTGCCATCTAGAGGACATCTGATACAAGAGGGCATGTAAAGCTGCTCAGAACAAGACCAGACGGTCTGCCCAGTGGATCGTCTAGAGGAGATTTGAAAACAAGAGGGTGCCTATCGGAGAAAGAAGAGAACAGGATACAAGGAAAAGATTAGGCCGAAGGACTAATGGACCCCAGCTACCGTGGCCTCCACCAGACTGAGTCCAGTACAGCTAGATGGTGCCCAGCTACCACCACAGACTGCTCTGACTGGGATCACAATAGAGGGGCCTGGACAGAGCTGGAGAAGGATGTAGAACAAAATTCTAACTCACAAAAATAGACCAGATTTACTGGCCTGACAGACTGGTGAAACCCCAAGAGTATGGCCCTCAGACACCCTTTTAGCTCAGTGGTGAAGTCACTCCCGAAGTTCACCATTCAGCTGGGGATTGGACAGCCTCATAAAATGGGAGTAATAAGGCACAGGAGCCCAGGTACAAGGACTAGAAGGCAGGAGGGGACAGGAAAGCTGGTGATAGGGAACTCACGGTTGAGAAGGGACAGTGTTGACATGTCGTGGGGTTGTTAACCATTGTCCTAGGGCAATATGTATACTAACTGTTTAATGAGAAACTATTTGTTCTGTAAACCTTCATCTAAGGTACAAAAAATAAAAAGAATTAACTATGTGAGATCAAATTGATAACAGCAACTCAAAAGGTTTGATGGGAAGCCTAGGGGGCAGTGAGTTGAAGATAATGGTGATGGAATAATTTGGAAAAGGACAGTGAGAATAGCAGCACAACTGGAAGAATGTAATGGATGTCACTGAATTGTACATGTAGAAACTTTTGAAACGGTGTACTTTGGCTATGTATATTTCCACCAAAAAAAAAAGAAAAGGGTCCTCCAAGGTCGAGAAGGGAGAGTGTTGACATGTCGTGGGGTTGTTAACCAGTGTGAAAACAATATGAGTACTGACTGTTTAATGAGAAACTATTTGTTCTGTAAACCTTCATCTAAAGTACAATAAATATATATATATTTATTTATTTAAAAAAGGAGACTTTTGCTCTGCAAACAGCTGATCAGAATATGACCAGATGGTATGTGGCCTCTGGTCTCACTGCTGCCATCCTGGGGACCCTCAGACTCGGTGCGCTACCATGAAAAGCTTTGGTCATGCCTCAGTTGGGTCTGGACGAGTGGCCTTATCTTCTTCTCTGTTTGCTTCCTTTTCAAACCTGTGATGTGCCTTCTTCTTGGCAGCCATCTTGCTGTAGTTCAGAGTTCATAGCATATGTGTTATCATAAAATCGTAGTCTAAGCCCCCATTTCTGCCTGAAGGCGCTGCTGCTTCCAACCTTCCTCCTTGTCTGGGATGGGCCCCTGCCTAATCTTAACCCTTCATAGAGAGAAACGGGGTGAGGGTGCCGGACAGAGAGACAGAGAGACATAGCAAGACGGAGACAGACGGACAGAAAGAGACAGAGATAAGACAGACCAGGGAGCCACACTGCCAGACTAGGAGTGAAGGAGCCGCCTGGGAATGAACCTTGGGCCCCAGATTTCCTAGATCGAAAACTAACCACTGGCCAAGCCCCTCCCAGATTCCTGACTCACAACATCGTGAGCAAAATAAAATAGTCGTGTTAAGCCTCTGTTTGGAGATGGCTTGTTATAGAGCAACAGATCGTGAGAACAAATGCTGTCGCTGTTACAACAGTCTAGGTGGAAGTCACGGTTGGCAGAGTCTATGGGGTTGATGCTTTTTCTTACATGGGAGGACTGAATTGTGTCCCCCAAAAAGACACGTCCCAGTCCTAACCCTGGTCCCTGTGAGCATGACCTTGTTTGGAATCAGAGTCTTCCAAGATACTATCAGTCAACATGAGGTCATACTAGAGTGGCACCTTAGGGAAGAGAAGAGACACAGAGAGAGAGGAAGGACATCATGTAAGGCTGCAGCTGCAGGCCTGGAGGCACCCCAGCGAGGAGAGAGGGTCGGAACAGATGCCACCGCAGAGTCTCAGAAGGAATCGACACCCTGACACCCTGACGTCGAGCTCCCGGCCTCCAGAACTGTGAGAGAATAAATTCCTGTTGTTAAAAGCTACCAGTTTGTAGCATTTTGTTACTCCACCCTGAGACACTCGTGCAGGGGTCGTCCAGTGTTCACTGTACCCTGATACTTTTTATCTTACATAATGTGTGTTACAAATATCCTCCACATGAATGTCTCAACAGTTAATAAAATTAAAAAAAAAAAACAATTTCTTATGATGATGCAAAGGCATTTGACTATGTGGATCATAAAAAATTATGGATAACATTGCAAAGAATGGGAATTCCAGGACACCTAATTGTGCTTATGTGGAACCTGTACATAGGTCAAGAGGTAGTCATTTGAACAGAAAAAGGGGACACTTCGTGGTTTAAAATCAGGAAAGGTATGTGTCGAGGTTGTATCCTTTCACCATACTTATTTAGCCTTATGCTGAGCAGCTAATCTGAGAAGCTGAACTATATGAAGAAGGATGCAGCATCAGGACTGGAGGAAGACTCATTAACAACCTGCGATAGGCAGGTGACACTATTTGCTTGATGAAACAGAAGACTTGAAGCACTTACTGATGAAGATCAAAGACCACAGCCTTCAGTATGGATTACACCTCAACATAAAGGAAACAAAAATCCTCACAACTGGACCAATAAGCAACATCATGATAAAAGGAGAAAAGACTGAAGTTGTCCAGGATTTCATTTTACTTCTATCCACAATCAACACCCAGGGAAGCAGCAGTCAAGAAATCAAATGACATATTGCATTGGGCAAATCTGCTGCAAAAGATCTCTTTAAAGGGTTGAAAAGCAAAGATGTCATTCTGAGGACTAAGGTTCCCCTGACCCAAGCCATGATACTTTCAGTTGCCTCATATGCTTGCAAAAGCTGAACAATGAGTAAGGAGGACCAAAGAAATATTGACGCCTTCGAATTATGGTATTGGTGAAAAATATTGAATATGCCATGGACCTTCCAGAAGAATGAACAAGCCTGTGTTGGAAGAAGTACAGCCAGAGTGCTCCTTGGAAACAAGGATAATGAGACTGCATCTCAAGTACTTTGGACATGTCATCAGGAGAAACTAGTCCCTGGAGAAGGACATCATGCTTGGTAAGGTAGAGGGTCAGCCACAAAAAGGAAAACTCTCTACGAGACGGTATGACGCAGTGGCTGTAACAGTGGGCTCACACATAGCAACCATTGTGAGGATGACACAGGACTAGGCAGTGTTTCATTCTGTTGTACATAGGGTCACTATGAGTCAGAACTGATTCAATGGCACCTAACAACACAACGTTGAAAACAGAAACAAGTTCCTCACTGCAATGGACGACTGAGTGATGTTAGTCCTCAAAGTGATATCTTTACTTTTCAACACTTTAAAGAGGTCTTTTGCAGCAGATTTGCCCAATGCAATGTCATCTGATTTCTTGACTGCTGCTTCCCTGGGCATTTATCTGGATCCAAGTAAAATGAAGTCTTTGACAACTTCAGTCTTTTCTCCACTTATCATGATGTTGCTTAGTGGTCCAGTTGTGAGGATTTTTGTTTGTTTGTTTTTTTATGTTACGGTGTAATCCATATGGAAGGCTGTAGTCTTTGATCTTCCTCAGTAAGTGCTTCAAATCCTCTTCGTTTTCAGCAAGCAAGGTTGTGTCATCTGCATATTGCAGGTTGTAAATGAGTCTTCTTCCAATCCTGATGCCATGTTCTTCTTCATATAGTCTAGCTTCTCGAATTATTTGCTCAGCATACAGATTGAATAAATATGATGAAAGAATATAACCCTGTCACACATCTTTCCTGATTTTAAACCATGCAGTATCTCCTTGTTCTGTTCAAACCATTGCTTATTGGTCTATGTAAAGATTCCTCATGAGCACAATTGTCTGTAATTCCCATTCTTTATGATGTTATCCATAATATGTTATGATCCACTCAGTCATCTCTTTTACTTCATCGTTTCTTCCCTTGGCTTTAGCTATTCCACATTCAAGAGCAAGTTTCAGAGTCTCTTCTGACGTCCACTTTGGTCTTCTCTTTCTTTCCTGTCTTTTTAAGGACCTTTTGCTTTCTTCATGAATTATGCCCTTGATATCATCCCACAACTCATCTGGTCTTCGGTCATTAGTGTTCAGTACGTCAAATCTATTCATGAAATGGTCTTTAAATTCAGGTGGGATATATTCAAGGTCGTGCTTTGGCTCTCATGGACTTGTTCTAATGTTCTTCATTTTCAACTTGAACTTGCATATGGGCAATTGATGGTCTGTTCTGCAGTCGGCCCCTGGCCTTGTTCTGACTGATGATATTGAGTTTTTCCATCCTTTCCTTCCACAGATGTAGTTGATTTGATTCCTGTGTATTCCATCCGGCGAGGTCCACGTGTATAGTCACCATTTATATTGTCGAAAAAAAGGTTTTTGAAGTGAATAAGTTGTTGGTCTTGCCATATTCTATCATTTGATCTCCGGCATCGTTTCTATCACCAAGGCCGTATTTTCCAATTGCCAAGCCTTCTTCTTTGTTTCCAACTTTCTCATTCCAGTCACCAGTGATTATCAATGCATCTTGATTGCATGTTTGATCCGTTTCAGCTGCAGAAGTTGGTAAAAATCTTCAGTTCCTTCATCTTTAGCATTAGTGGTTGGTGTGTAAATTTGAGTAATGGTCATAATTTATTCCTAGCAGGTAGAGCTGGGCTTTCACCATTACCTCCCTCTCCCACCAGACCCAAAGGCAGTCCCAACAGCCTGGTCTGTGCCTTCTTTTGCACAAAGGGGTAAGGGGTCATGTTTGAGGCCGTGCCCTGCTGAGTGGGGCCTCTGGCCAACTTGACATTTTGAAGGGTGGGGGGCTGGTAACTGACAGGGGCCATGTGCCATGTGGGGTGCCCAGGTGAGTGTCAGAGGGTGGCGCCCCCTCCACTTGGCTTTGGGGCCCTATTGCCTGGGCACCCTCTCCCCTCAGCTGTGGGGCGCCTCCTCTTGCCTGCAGGCCGACCCTCCTACTCTGGGCCCAGCACAAGATCTGGATGGCATGGCTTCACTGCCCAAGTTGAGCAGGCGACAAAGGCCTGCCCATGTGCACTGGGACCTCAGGCCTCTGATAGGGCACTTCATGGTGGGGGCAACGAGCATCCGTGACTCTTTTTTTCAATCTGAGATTTGTCATTTTGAATTATGGTGGCCCCAGGGTGAGACCTGGCAGGGAGACGTGTGAATGTCAGGGCTGGACCTGCTGGGTGGCGCTGGGGGCCTCCGTGAGGGTTCTGGGTGTCCCTGCCCCCGCTAACCTCAATTGTCCCTCTGTTCTCTGTTGTAGACCCAGTACCCCAGCCTCACTGCCCTCCAGGACGGCTGGCCTCTGTGCGACCAAGGGAAGGTGGTGGTGCAGCTGGCCACCCTCCTCAGAGTCCGGCTTAGGCCCGGCAACTTCTACCTGCATGTGGTGGCCAGGGGTCAGCACACCGCCAGGCTGGTCCTGACATGCCTCTCCCGGTGAGGGCGGGAAACGGGGCACATCGCTGTCCCCGAGGCCATGTATGGCCAGGTCTTCACGGGAGAGTTCCTGGAGCAGGTGAGTGCTGATCGGGGCAGCTTTCCGCTGCACAGCTGCCTGCTGACCACCGGCACTGCCATCCACCACGCCCCATGGGGCAGCATCACAGACCCTACCTCTGTCCTGCAGGGCCGCCCCCAGCCTGAGCATCCACTGCTCGACAGCATCTGGGAGGCCCCAGCCCCGGCCATGGCAGGCCCACTCTCCCAGCAGGGAGCCCCAACTCTGTACCCTGGGTGTCCGGACGGAGGCCCCACAATGCCCCCTGAGAGCTCGGATGGAGACTTGGAAGGGCCAAGAGTGGGGCCAGGGCCCATGGACAGGAGGGGCAGCACCGAGGCCTCCTACACAGGTGGGCCCAGCCCGGAACCCAGGGGGCGCTGGTTCCGGAAGTCGTATGTGGAGGCCCTTCGAAACCCTGTGCCCCTGGGCTCCAGCTCCGAAGAGTCCCTCCTGGAAGAGGCCGCGGATGCAGCTCCCAGATGCTTGACCCAGGGCAGCAGGCCCAGGGCAGCTGCCAGCCCAGTGCAGAGGGGCCCTGCACCCCCCCAGAGGCCCCTGGAGAGCCAACCGCCAACAGATAGGGCAAGGATGGCACCCAGGAGGTCACGGTCATGGGACAAGCCACTCAGGAGCCCCCTTGGCAACGGACCCGAGGCCCAGCAAGAGTCTTGTGACTCGGCAGGCATCCAGGCTGCAGGAACAGGAGCCACGGGTCTCAGTGCTGCAGTGGGGAGCCCCGAGAGACCCCGGGAAGATGAAGGTAACTGCCCCCACCACACCCCCATGATCTGGTAACGAGGTTCTTGGGAAGCCCCGTCTTCGAGTCCATCTTGACTTGGTGAGACAATGTTTGCATCGATACACTTGCATGTGGCAGAACTGAAATAGCCAGGGTTTCCCAGGACCCCACCTGTGCTGTAAGGTGTGGCCACCTACATTCTTTACCTGAAATGGGCCAGGTCTCACCAGATTCTCTGGGACCCTGTTATTTCCATGTGTCTATGTTTGCCTTAAAGCTGAGATGAGCGGCTGTCTCAGACCACAGGGAAGAGCCTCTTCTGACCCATCTGTCCTTGGTAGGTGTTCCTCTAGCCTCAGCTGACATAGGCGCGGACAGCAGCAGCTCCCAGGGACCAAAGCCTGGCACCTTCTCTAACCAGCCACCCAAGCGGCTGTGCCCCAAGGACCCCAGAGACTCTGAGCTCAGGGCGCCCAGCCAGGTGCTAGGTGTTAGCCCGGCACTGCTGCAGTTGGGGACAGTGACCCTCCCAGGTAAGCCACACTGTGCCACACAGGCCCTCCCCTGCCCCCTGGGCACAGCCTACACTCAGGACGCCCCTTCTGTCCCCACAGGGACCCGGGACCGCAGCGGCCGGGCGGTGGTGCAGGTGTGCACAGGAGGCCCACTCTGGGCCAGGGAGCACGCCTCAAGCACTGAACTGACCTGCCTCCTGATGTACCTGCACAGCATCCCCAGGTGGGACCCGAGCTGGCTCCCAGCTGCTTTCAGCTGAGACCTTCTGTGTTTGGGGCTCCTATCCTCCCACGGGCAGTGATGTGATCAGGAGCGTGCTGCGGGGATAACCCATGTGAATGTGTCCTCTGATACCAGAGAGTCTCCCGTCTGTAGTCACAGGAGCCATCTGACCCAGAACCGCCTCCACTCTGGCCCTTCTGCCAACCGCCTCGTCCCCCTCCTCCCAAACACAGTGGCTGTACTCACTCCTCTGTCCTCCAGCTCTCCCGCGGGGCAGGGGTTCCCTGGCTCAGGCTGCTCCCCGCTTCACACCACCCCAGCTCACTCTGGTTTCCCCCCAGTTGTCCCATCCACCTTAACTGGACCCTTAATTGGGCATTGCTTTCATTACCCAGTGTTGTTTATTTACACTCGTAGACTTTATACTCCCCTTTATGCTAAAACAAGACTTGAAGTAGCCTTGGATGAAAACGTGAGCTGACATAGCCGGGGTTCAGAATAAGATGTTAAGAGACCATACGGAGAAACTTGCTGTGTGGTGCAGGATTGGGGGTGTCGGTGTGATTTCTGCTTGTCCCAGCCCCCAAGATGAAGTTCACACACCCTTGCCTCCTGAGGACAAAGCATGCCACCTGCATCCTGCGTGGGACATGGCATCACCACGGGCCGCTCCAGAGGCAGGTGGCCGGATGACCTTCTCCCAGGCTGTGGTTTCTGGTGCTCCTGTGGACCCATGACAGAAGCAGGATTGCCAAGTTGAGGGAGGTTAAAGCTGTCATTGGGCCCCTCCAGTCATCAGACACAGATAGAACCCCTGGTCAGACTGCCTGTGTCCAGACCCAGCTCTGCCCTTGCTGGCTGGGGTAGGCATGGTCCTCACTAGACCAGTCCATGGTGATAACAGCATCTCAAAGGTGTGTTAAAGGCTTAGAGTGATCTATGTAAGGTCTGGTGTACTGTGGTACATGATACACCATCAAATGATGTGCTCTTGTTCGAGGACATATTACATGGTATATCATCACATCATGTGATATCATGTGAGAGCATATTGCGTGATACATCATCACGTGATGTGATCTTGTGTGAGGACATATTACATGATACACTATCATGTCACTGATCTCATGTTCTTTGCAGCATATCAACTTTCTATTTAAATTTCTTCTGAAATAGTTTAGGTAGAATCAATGCGGGAACATTTAGGCAGACAAAAAGCATATCCACTCCTCACTTACTGACATAGTTAGGTTCCAAAGACTCGGTCATTATGCGAAAATCGGCATTATGCAAAACCGGAGAATGACCACATCAGATCACAAAATGGAGGATGACTACATCATGACATAACTGCCAAATTACTTCATTACATAACTGCCAAACCACTCAGAATCATGGCCCAGCCAAGTTGACACATAGCCTTAACCATCACAGCCAGCATTACTCCTACCTCGCAACTTGGTGTTTGTTACTGCCAGACGTATGGTATTAATGCACAGAATCGTCAGATAGTAGATTTTTTACTGTTGTCATAAATGCAAAATGTCAGATAACAAGATACTCAATAAGTGAGAAGTAGCTCTAATGATATTCTGTCCACACTGCTTCCCCAGGGTATCGTTCCCAGTTAGCCAGCAGACCCTAGCTTTACTGCCCCAAGTGAGGCTGGGATTTCAAAACTGTCCATCAGCAGAGTTTTCAAAATATAACGAAACCACACTGGAAAAATTGATTTCATCCTTGCATTCTTTTGTACCTTGTAAGCTCTGTTCTAGGGTAATAACATTTTCTGTTTTCCAAAAGCATTCTTTTATGGGAGCCTGCAGAACTACCCGGGCTGTGATGGAGAGCTGTCCTTACCGACAAGCATAGTACTATCACACACTGTGTGGAGTGTGTGCCCTTCCACATACCATACCTCACTTAGCCAATGAGCTGAGGTCTGTTTCCTCCATTTGTAAATGAAATACCTGAGGACAAAGGGATTACATTCTTTCCCAGAACTTCACTGTGGGAGGTGGGGGCCGCAGAGTCAGGCTTTGGCCCCAGGTCTTTAGTCCTGTGCTTCTCCCACTCTGCCACAGCAAAGAAGGACCATGTCACCAAAGCAGGTGTCTTCACCAGCTCTGAAGGGAACCTCTGCTGAGAAGTAAATTCCTAAAGCACATGGGAAGAAATGGTTCTGAAGCCTCGGGATTTGACTCGTTGTTTCCCTGCAAGGATCCTAGTTTTGCCAGTATCCTAATGGACTGTTGCACCTTGAGAAGCCAAATCCACTGCCCTCGTGGGATGTGAGACCTGTCTTCAGCTCTGTTAGGGTCTAGCCCAGCTCCACCCAAAGAAAAGAATCTGCAGTTTGTCTTGATAACAGCTACCGTAGGTGTGTGATGAGGAGCCCTGCATGCCTGTAAGCTTGCCTTGAAAATGGACTACCATCAAAATCTTAGATACAGATACATATGGAGTCTCAGAATCACCCACCTGACTCCTGCCCAGTGCAGGAATCCACCCATCATCCATTCACCCATCCTCCATCCACTCATCCTCCATCCATCCTTTATCCATCCATTCTCCATTCATCTATCCTCCATCCATCTACCCTCCATCTATCACACATCCTCCATCCATCCACCCTCCATCTATTCCACATCCTCTATCCATTCATCCATCCTCCATCCATCCAACCATTCATTCATTCATCCATCCACCAACCATCCATCCTCCATACATCCATACATCCACCCAACGATTCTCCATCCATTCATCTATCCTCCATCCATTCATCCATCCTCCATCTATCAATCTTCCATCCAACTGTCTATCCTCCATCCAACCACCAACCAACCATCCATCCTCCCATCCGTCCTCCACTCATCCTTCCATCCTTCATCCATTCGTCCATTTATCCATCAGTATATCCATCCAACACTTACTGGGAAATACAAAGGAGAATGGAATATGGTACCTGCCCTCAAGGTAGACAATATATGGACCCAAATTATTATAGCTTCCAGTGTCAGGCAAGTCCACAGTGCTAGGGAAGGAGCCGCAGCCTCGGCCAGGGAGGGGCTGGGAACTTATTCACAGACAGGCTCACAGTCTACCTGTTGAAGGAGACAAGAAGAGAAAGACTTTCTAGGTAGAAGGCACAGCACATACAAAGCCCAGAACCAAAGTCACATTCCACACTGGAGGTGGAGCTGACAGTGGGTGAGGCCAGGAGATACTGGGAAGGGAGTAGTCCCCTGGGCTAGAAGACCACACTGACCGTGGTGTGGAGTGGATGGAGGGACCATACTTGGGCAGGGAGACCTAGGATGTGGAGGGCAGATCAGCACAGTGTTCTCAGGTGGTGAAAGGACCTCAGGGGCCAAATCCAGGAACATGGTGGCTGAGGGGTTTAGTCAGCCAGCTTCACTGGCCAGGGAAGACGGAACCCAAAAAAAGAGAAGCAGGTTTGGCCCAGAGCTCACACTGAGCAGTGCCAATGTGAACATGGTAATGAGCAAATCTCCTCCTAGTGGCCCCAAGGAGAGGTGGGCTGTTCGCTCTATGGCCCTCCCTTCAGCAAAGCCACCAGTGGATGAGATGGATAATGGAGAACATGCCCATCTCGGATAATGGCCAGTGATGCTGCAAGACACATCTAGCCTCTGTAGCACCTCGCTCCTCTGCACGGCATCTCCTAATGTTTGGAGGAAATTGTCTTACTGGGACCCTGAGATGCAGACACAACAGCTGGTGTGATGTCAGAGGTGAAGGGGGAAACACCGAGGGTGGGTCATCAGGGGAGAACAGACATGGTCCAAGGAGCATCATCCAGCCTCACCACCATAAGCTACTGGAGCCTGATCCTGCAGGGAACCCTGGACCAGGGTGGACACCAGCCTCAGAAGGTGGGGACTTGTGTCTCAGGACCCAACCCTAGTGTGACTCCGCGCCCTCCCAGCTATGGCAGGCTCGGTAGCCATAAAAAGCCCTGGAGCAAAGACCTGCCGAACTGGGGGCTTCTAGGGAGGTAGGAGGAAGGCAATGTCTGCTGCAACAGCCCTCCTGCTGTCTCTTTGTCATGACTTCTGAGCAGCCAACACCCCAGGCATCAATTTTTGTTTCTAGAAACCATTCCTGGTCCTCAATACCTTGGTCTCCCCCAAGAGACACATCATTTTTTGAAATATTCTTTAAAAGTCACCCCCCAGTGCTGACTTCTTACCGGTTGTGGCAGCACACAGGGAGACCCACCCCCACAACCAGGACTGGAAGCCACCAGTACGTTGTTGCACGTGTCCATTTTAAGATTAGCATCTAGAAATGCAGCTTAATGAAAATATTAAATAGTCACGGAAGCTAGAGCAAAGAAGTTCCAAAGAAAATGAAAACTTTTGCAAAGTGAGTGTATCTGGTCACCCTAGCCTATCATTTTTGTTAAGGTTAGAACGGAAGCTTCCGATCACAATTGCAATCGCATCAAAGCTTGTAAAGGGTTTTCAGACAAGATGGTGTTTCTGTTTTTGGAAGGCATTTTGCAGTCTTGTGTTAGCCCTGGAGACAATGAGCCATATAGTGGGTCTCAGCCTCTGTCTGGGAAACAGGCAGTCCTTTCTTTTCCTGCCCCCCGCATTAGAACTAACATCTATGCTCATGTTAAAACCAGAGAAACAAAGTGATCAAGAACTCTTGGGGTCTTTGCTTCCTTGGTGGGCAGCTGAGGGAGAAGGTCCATTTTGTGCATCTGCAGCCTTGGAGGGGGTGACCACAGCATTGCCCCTAACACCCGCAGCTCTGAGGCCCAAGGGGCACCACTGATGAGGTTACACATAATAGTAATCTGTCTGTCTCCACTGATGAGTAGAACTGACCTGGGGCAGAAGTAAGGAGCCCCTGACCTCAGACGCAGAAGGAACCTCAAGGGTCACTACTCTTGCCTAGGGATGGGGAACCAGTGACCGCAACGCTCAAGGATGCCTGTCTCTCTCTGCAGGAAGGAGGTGCAGGACCTGGGGCTGGTCATCCTGGTAGATGCGCGGAAGGGTCCAATCGCCCCTGCTCTCTCCCAGGCTCTCGAAGCCCTGCAGGTGAGGTGGGATTAAAGGGGGAGAAATGTAAATGTAAAGGAGCCTGGCACCAGCCGGCCCCCAGCCCCTTCTCTTCCTGGGGTCCAGGCAGAGCCACTGGGCTAAGGAGCAAGTGTCTGTCCTCTGGGCTGTCTGGGAGGCTGTCCTCTGGGGTAGCTGCAAAGCCTTAAAGCCAGCCAAGACTACGTGTACGGGTGCTGTGATCTCATTTTCTGTCTGAATAAATTGGGGTGCAGGGGCATGTACACCCCCTCCTAGACGGGACAGAAGCATGGACAGGTGGGCTAAACTCATTGTGGGGGATGGGGCCCTGGACCACTCAGTGGCATTTTTGTCCTGGCTTCCAGGGGCCACATGGGTTGTTCTGGTTCCCATCAGACATGTGTGCACAGACCCCGTGGGGGCCAAGCTGCACCGTGGTCTGGGGTCTCTGTGTGGTCTATGGTCTCCATGGAGTCTGAGGTCTCTGTGGGACCTGGTGCCTCAGCTCCCTCCCTCAAAGACCAGGATGCCCTGGATGCCCCCCTGATGAGGGTCACCAAATGGAGGACTTTTGGCAAGGAAAGTCTTGGGTGGCGAGGCTGGCGGGACTCGGCCCCCAAGTAAGCAGCAACTTGTAGCAACATGTTCTTGAAGTGCTCATGGAAAAGAAAATCAACCTCTAGAAACAGACTAAAATGTCCACTACATTAAGTGGGGGTTTTGAGTACTCGAGTCACGCAGGGACGGGCCTCACAGAGAAAGCCACTCACTCTTATCAGCCAACGTGGCCCTATAGACAGAAGCACCATGCAATTTTTCTTCAACAAAGACATGAAAAAGTAAGTAAAACAGATACAAACGTCGATCTTGGAACCCTAAGCATCAAATGAAGGGATAAAGAACTCGATCAAGCACCGAATGGAATCCAGGTAATCCTGGAATCCAGGTAATGAACTCTCAAGGATAACACACATCTAAAACAGGGAACCAGAGAGGTCAATCTGTAAATGACAACAACCTCAGAACAATAAAAGAGAGACTAAACAGTGTAGGTATAGAACTTTCAAATGGAAAGGAAGTCAAGGTGATATCAAGTAATAAAAGATGGGTTTAAACAAGGTAACCACAAAGAAAGTTAAAAAACCTACTCATCAAAATAAAGAGGAAAAACTTAAAGTCTCAGTAAACACAAAGTCTACAAAAACAAAAGAAACCAAAAAAATACACAAACAAAAGGAATTCAGCAAAGGAGAGTAAGAGGAACAAAGAAAATGCCAGCACCACAAAAAAAGCACTACCAAATGATAGCAATAAACTCACACCTGTCAGTAATCACACTGAACATAAATGGCTTAAATGTACACATAGAGACAGAGAGTGACAGAATGGATTAAAAAACAGGACCCATCAGTATGCTGTCTACAAGAAACACACCTTAGAAACAAAGACATAAATATATTAAAAATCAAAGGATGGAAAAAAATGTATCAAGCAAACAGCAACCAAAAGAGAGCAGGAGTGGAAACACTAATCTCAGATAAAGTAGACTTTAAAACAAAATCCAGCATAAAATACAATGAAAAACATTATGTAATGATTAAAGGGACAATCCACCATGAGGAAATAACTGTAATAAATATCTACTCACCCAATGACAGGGCTCCAAAATACATAAAACAAACCAACAGCACTGAAAAAAGAAATGTACAATTCCACAATAATAGTAGGAGACTTCAACACACCACTCTCGGTAAAGGACAGAATATCTAGAAAGAAACTCAAGAAAGATGCAGAAGATCTAAAGTCCACAATCAACCAACTTGACCTCGTAGGCATATGTAGAACACTCCACCCAACAGCAACAAAGTACACATTCTTTTCCAGTGCACATGGAATGTTCTCCAGAATAGACTACATCTTAGGCCACAAAGCAACCCTGAACAAAATCCAAACCACTGAGATAATACAAAGTGTCTTCTCTGATCACAATGCCATAAAAGTAGAAATTGATAGCAGGAAGAGCAAGGGGAAAAAAATCAAATACATGGAAACTAAATAACACCTTGCTTAAAAACCACGGGGTAATAGTAAAAATCAAAGATGGAATAAAAAAAATTCCTAGAATCAAACGAGAATAAACATATCATACCAAAACCTTTGGGACACAGCAAAGGCAGTTATCAGAGGCCAATTTATAGCAATAGATGCACACGTCAAAAAAATAAGAAAGGGACAAAATCAAAACGTTAGCTGCACAACTCGAACAAATAGAAAGAGAACAGCAAAACAAGCCCGCAGCCACCAGAAGAAAGGAAATCATAACAATCAGAGCAGAAATAAATGAAATAGAGAATAGAAAACAATACAAAGAATCAACAAAACCAAAAGTTGATTCTTTGAAAGGATTGACAAACCATTGGCCAAACCGACAAAAGAAAGACAGGAGAGGACACAAATAACCCAAATAAATGAAATGGAGTGGGGGGCATTATGACAGACTCAACTGAAATAAAAAGGATCATAACAGAGTACTGTGAAAAACCATGACAAATTTGAAAACTTGGAGAAAATGAACAAATATCTAGAAACACACTAGCTACCTAAACTAACACAAACTGAGGTCAAAAATCTGAACAGACCCATAACAAGAGAAGAGATTGAAAAGGTTTTTTTTTAAAAAAAAAAAAAAACAAAAGCCCTGGCCCAGATGGCTTCACTGGAGAGCTCTACCAAACATTCAGAGAAGAGCTTACACCAGTATTAAACTATTTCAGAACACAGAAAAGGATAGGATACTTCCAAATTCATTCTATGAAGCCAGCATAACCCTGATACCAAAACCAGGCAAAGACATAAAAAAAAAAAAAATTACAGGCCAATATCTCTCATAAATATAGATGCAAAAATTCTCAGCAAAATTCTGGCCAATAGAATTCAGCATTGTATAAAAAAAAGGATAATAATACACCTCGACCAGGTAGGATTCATACCAGCTATGCAAGGATGGTTCAACATTAGAAAATCAATTAACATAATCCAACATATAAATAAAACAAAATAAAAGAATCACATGATCATCTCAGTCGACACAGAAAAAGCATTGGATAAAGCCCAACACCCATTCCTGATAAAAACTCTCAATAAAATAGGTATAAAAGGGAAATTCCTCAACATAATCAAGGGCAGCTATATGAAACCAACAGCCAACATCATTCTTAATTGAGAGAGGCTGAAAACATTCCCCCTGAGAACAGGAACAAGACAAGGATACCCTTTATCACCTATTTAACATTGTGCTAGAAGTCCTAGCTAGAGCAATAAGGCAAGAAAAAGAAATAAAGGGCATACAAATTGGTACAGGCCCTGGTGGTACAGTGTTTAAGAGCTATGGCATGCTACAGCTGCTAACCAAAAAGTCATCAAAACTGGAAGGAAGAAATAAAACTATCCTTAAGGATGATATGATACTATACATAGAGAACCCAAATGACTCCACAAAAAAAGTACTGAAACTAGCAGAAAGATTCAGCAGAGTAGCAGAAGACAAGATAAATATACAAAAATCAGTTGGATTCCAATATACCAATAAAGAGAACTACGAAAAGGAAATCAGGAAAGCAATACCATTTATAATACCCCCTAAAAAAATAAAATACTTAGGAATAAATCTAACCAGGGACGTAAAAGACCTGTACAGAGAAAACTACAAAACACTACTCCAAGAAACCAAAAGAGACCTACATAAATGGAAAAACATACCATGCTCATGGATAGGTAGATTCAACATTGTGAAAACATCAATTCTACCCAAAGCAATCTACAAAAACAATGCAATCCCAGTCCAATACCAACAGCATTCTTTAATGACATGGAAAAACTAATCATTAACTTTATATAGAAAGGGAAGAGGCCCAGAATAAGTAAGGCACTACTGAAGAAGAAGGCCTCGCACTATCTGACCTCAGGACCTGCTATACAGTATGGTAGTCAAAACATCTTGGTACTGGTACAATGACAGACACAATGACCAGTGAAACAGGATCGAGAACCCAGATGTAAATGTATCCACCTACGGTCACCTGATCTTTGACAAAGGCCTAAAGTCCATGAAACGGGGAAAAGACAGTCTTTTTAACAAATGGTGCTGGCAAAGCTGTATGTCCTTTTTTTAAAAAAAGAAAAAAAAGAGGACCCATACTTTACACCATACACAAAAACTAATTCAAAATGGATCAAAGACCTAAATATAAAACCAAAAACTATAAAGAACATACAAGAAAAAACATGGTGAACACTAGAGACCTAATACACAGCATAAATAAGATACAAAACATAGCTAACAATACAGAAACGCCAGAAGATAAGCTAGATTGCTGGAATCTTCTTAAAAATTAAACACGTATGCTCATCAAAAGAGTAAAAAGAGCTCCTGTTGTTGTTAGGTGCCATCGAGTCGGTTCTGACTCAGCGACCCTGTGTACAACAGAACTGAACACTGCCTGGTCCCGCGCCATCCTCACAATTGTTGCTATGCTTGAGCCCCTTGTTGCAGCCACTGTGTCAATCCATCTCATTGAGGGTCTTCTTCTTTTTTGCTGACCCTGTACTTTACCAAGCATGATGTCCTTCTCCAGGGGCTGATCCCTCCTGATAACATGTACAAAGTATGTGAGATGTAGTCTCGCCATCCTTGCTTCTAGGAGCATTCTGGTTGTACTTCTTCCAAGATAGATTTGTTCATTCTTTTGGTAGTCCATGGTATAGTCAATATTCTTCTCCAACACCACAATTCAAAGGCATCAATTCTTCTTTGGTCTCCTTCATTCATCATCCAGCTTTCGCATGCACGTGAGGTGATTGAAAACACCATGGCTTGGGTCAGGCGCACCTTAGTCTTCAAGGTGGCATCTTTGCTTTTCAACACTTTAAAGAGGTCTTTTGCAGCAGGTTTGCCCAATGCAATGCGTCTTTTGATTTCTTGACTGCTGCTTCGGTGGGTGTTGATTGTGGATCCAAGT